CAGAACCTCTGCGGAGGCTGAAATAGGGTGTGTGGTGGAGGACCCTCGGGCTGCTTTCACAGTAAAACAAACTCTTAGAGACCTTTGGTGCTCTGGCTGTCTTTCAGATGTAGCTTTGCTTAATCATTCCTGAAGCTAGACTAGAACATGCAGCGCGTGTTCAGAGCAAACAGGGTAAATGTTTGGGGGAAGAGACCAGCAGAATTTTCTCACAGAGGCTTTCTGCTGTAGGTGCCTTCTTTACACCTGCTGTGAAATGGTTTCATAAAATTAATTACAAATTTATGAGCATTTTAGCCATCTCCTTTTCCACTGGTTATGTTAACTGAATTTTCCCAGCACTCACCTGGGTCTCACTTTACACAGTTGCTGTCTGCACAGTGAGATTAATGATGTCTTGGGATCTGCAGAGGAGTGCTTAAATTTATAATTCAAATGGATACAGCTCCTGTGGCAGAAACTGTGAAGAGGTTCATGAATTTCTAATTAGAAGGGCTTCATTCAATGAATATCATTTCCTAAACTAAGTTGCAGTGCGGAGCACAGATGAAGCTTAATGTTTAGATTCCCTCTAGAATGTGTGAGCCCTACCCGAGGTGCCCAGGTTTCCTTTTGGATGCTCTTCTCTACCATGCTAGTGTATTTTGGGAGCAGAACAGCAATGCCTTCAGATAGGCGGAGATGTCCTGTATCTGTTATGTTACATACAGAACAACTGAACTGAAGTTATCGCAGGAGAAAAAGTCCCTCATGAATTCAGAACCTGCCATTCCAGTCAGAAAATGCGTTTCCAGCTTCATCTCCGTGTATTTTGTGCTTTGTACTTTCTTCCCTTATGCATTTTTCAGGCTTAGCTCATAAATGGTTGTAAAACTGTTTTCAAGATTTTTACGAAAAAGGTAGTATATAAAATCAAAATCACAATATTTAGAAGTCTGCAATTATCTGAAAAGAAAATGTATCCCAATGATCACATAAATCACACTGTACAAAGTAAGCAGAAAAGCTACCTGTGAAGGAAGTTTCTTTCTTGACCCCTGAGGCAAGCAACTTAAAGCTTGAAGCATAAGCCACAAATCCTGCTTATTAAGCTTACAGCTCGCGTTTTCTTTCAAAATGAGAGATTTGTAAAAAGCACTTTTTGCCGATTCGGACTTCTGCACCAGAGCTCCCAAGCCTTATCAGGTCGGCTCCGCAGTTGCTTTCTGCAGTGCCCGCGGTGCAGAAGGGCCGGTGAGAGCAGGCAGCAGCTGGGCAGCGCGACGCCTGCGGACCTGCCCTTCCTCCAGCTGCTGGATCACAGCTTCAGCCGGGGCCTCCGGGCCTTGTCCTGCAGCCATCGTCTTGGTGGCATCGGCTTTGGGTGAAGGAGGAGATAGGAAGGAAACAGGGCTGCTAAGAATATGGCTTTAAAGCTGGGAGAACAAAATGTTTCTGCAAGTGGAGATTGTTTTAAGTTGGCTGTAGGGGTCTCGATGGAGGAATCCCTAGTTTAAATTCAATGGGCTTCACTCTACAGGATATTAGCATTACTAATTTTTAACAGCTCCCTCTGGCTTTATTATCAGTATTTGAGATTCTGTGCCGCGCTAACCTTGGACCTCAAGGGGAGCTGGGCAAGCTGGTGCTAAGCCACCGTTTGCCCTCCCTCTTGTGTGTTCCCTGGGGGGCTGGATACAGTTTATGAATATCTCCGTTTCTCCAGAATCTTCAGATCTGGGTTGCTGTGATTGAACAGTGTATTGGACGTGTGCAATATGGACCAACAGTGTCTGGGTACAGGATGGGTGACTCAGGCAGGGCCCCTTAAATCCAGAAACCATGCAAGTAAATCTGACGCTTCTGGGAAACACTGGATTTAATCACGTCTGCACTTGATCAGGTACTTTCTCAGATCATTGGGTTTCTTGCACCAACACTGCATAGTGTATAGGTGGTGTGAATGTCTGGTACACCTCAGGCAAGCTTTATGGGCGCACGTGGAGGGCGGTTATCTGGGGCAGCAGACTGCTAGGACAGAAAATGCCTATCGCTTTGATGCCTGCTTTGTCCAGACCAGAGTCCTGGAAATGCAGGCTAGGGATGTCTGTTACTGCAGTGGCTGTTCACATAAACCCAAGCTCTCCTCTATTTACCTTTTAAGATTCAGTTTAGAAGGGTGAAAGATGTACTTTCATGAAACTAATCTTTGAAAATATTTTTTGAAAAGATGTTATAGCGTGCTTGAGAGTATGCCAACGGTACATTTGCTCAACCTTCTAGAATTAGCCCTTGGTATAAAAAAGGCCCTGATCCTTCTGGATTAAAGTCAGTACAACCTGTGGATTTTATGTGAGGTTTAATGGATTTTAACCTAAATAAATAGAATTCCTCGAGGCTGATAAAAGTTCTGTGATCTGTATTATAGATCTATGCCAGGAGTTCAGTCAAGAGTAGTATTTTCCTAAGTATTTTCCTTTGGTTTCCTGTCTAATAGCAACAGGAAAAATACCATTCTGCGGGAAAGGCAGGTAGGTATATTAATCACAACAATACAGGACTGTCAGGTGTTTTGCATTCCAGCATTGCAAAGTAGAGGTTTTGAGGAGGGAGAGTAGTCCTTGCTTCTGTCCTCCACAGTCATCTTGATCCTATAAAACTGTTCCTGTTCTAACAGGGTGGGCTTGACAGTAAATGAGAAAAAAGAAAGCAAATACAGTCAGCTTTTTTTAGGATTTTGTTACATGGGATGCAGCTGGCTCTTCAGCTGAATAGTTTTAGGCTGAAAGTAGTAACTTTCCATCTAATTGCAGTCTCAGGCTTCATGAACAACTGCTCAAGCAAAAGACTTCTGTAAAGCCTTGGGAGCCCAGATAGCATCTTGTAAATGATAGTTTACAAAAACTAGCATATTTAAAAAAAAAACAAAACAAACCACTTGCAGCAAGCAGCTTTTTAGGGCAACAGATGAAGCATCAGGAAGTTGGGATCTAAAGGCATGTTGGGGGGACAGTGGATTCTCCTGACTGGCTATGTGAAACTTTAAGATGGGATCGCTGATGAAATGTTCCTTTTTTCATCTGTGCAGCAGTGTGTGGACAAACAAGGTGCTCATGAATGGGAAGCGTTTGGAGCACGAGGCTTGTCTTTCCCTCCCTCCTGGTGGACTGCTAGGCGGGGGTGGGAGGGTGCCCGAGGAGGATTCGCAGCGATGTGCCTGCAGTCTTTTCCAGATGCAAAACTTTCTCGGATTCCATTTTGACAGAGCTAATGGAGAAAGAGAGGGATGCCTGGTTCCAAATAGCTAATTTCACTTTCCTAATCTGTGAACATCTGTGGAATTTCCCTGGGCTCAGTCCAGCTCTTCTTGACTAGAGGAGTCCTGTTGGATCTGTCCGTAGGTTAATGTAGTCGCCTTTTCGTGCCGACTTCCACTCAAGAACTTCAGTTCCCTTTTCATGCTATAAAATCAGCAAAAGCAGATTCGTAGACCATGCATGGTCAAGAAAAATCCCCCAGCTGGGCAATGACCCTGTGTCAGCCTTGTTGACTAGCAAGCACATGGCTGTGAGCCATCCTGTGCCCTCCTGGCTGCCGTGGCCAGCAGTGCAAGCTGACTCAGTTGTGTGATGGCAGGGTAGGCTCCTCTCTACTCCAGATCTTGCAAACTTGCTGGGTGGGCTAATCCAACACCGCTTTATGGCAGTCAGTGGTAACTTCCTAATTCGTATTAAAAGGCTCCATTTCCAGAAAGTTGTGTCTGATTTTCTTTTTTTGTGTTAAATCTTAAGAACGTTTTGTCACCTGTTCTGTAAACAAAGGGCATAGGAAGTACAATTTCACAGAGATAAGAGATTTACATGTAGGCTGAGGAATGCGTGAACAAAAAGACCTCCAGTATTGAGAAATAAATCCATGTACTCTGATTTTTTTTTTTTTTTGAAGTGTGTATACTGCTGTGGTTGCTTACTCAGCTATGATGGCCTTTTGGTTACAGTACTCATTTTGCAGTAACTTCACTAGGGGTAGGACTGGCTGAGAATAAAATAGCCATAAGTAGGTTCCCCCATGGTTTCACACGCAGATCAACCAGCAAAGTGTAGTTCTCGGTACTGACAACTGTAATTTCTTCCTCCATTCTCATTGGAGTTTTCCCACTGACTCGTTGTTAATAGCAGGTGCCTTGTAGCTGGCTTGCAACCTTAATTTACGTACCACCAGAGGGACTTGCCTCATCTAACTTGAGGCAGCTGAAACCTGTTGGGCAAGTTGTTCAGTAAGAGTTCTTGTCTCTCTCCATTGACTGCAAAGGGAGCCTGGATGACCAGGTCCTGGAGTAGATGGTTATATCCTAGATGTTTGAAGGAAAGTGATTTGAATTCCGTCCTGTTGACAAATTTCTGTGTGAGAAACAGGCCTTGCTGAAATGTATCGGAATCCTCTCAGTATTTTTGGCTCAGAGAATGCTCTTTTAATGCCAGATTTTTCCCTGTATATTCTTCCTGAAGGTAAATGTTGGGAAATTGCACTTGAACTTGTGTAACAAATTGTGTGATGATCTTGTGAAAATAACACATTCCTCTTTCTGTTATGTTTTGAATCACTTCTGTCTGGCCATTTTACCCTCTTCTATATTCTCCAGTGTTAAGGATGGAATTAACTGTTTTACTGGAGTATTTCAGAATTTATCCTGAAAGTGGTTCCTTCTGGAGAGGTTAGTGTTTCCCGTTTGAATGGGTTTGAGGTAGTCCTAGGTTCTGTTACCCTGTTTCTTCTTCCCTTTTTCTCCCCTTCAGATTTCTTTCTAGTGTTTGGATATTTCATTAACCTGACATCTGTTCTGCTTTAGGAGAAGCCTGATGCCAGCCCCACATCTCTACAGCTGCGATCCCAGATTGAGGTAAGCACTTGGATTTTGATCACCCATTTTTTTTTGTTTGTTCTTTAATTTGATATTCTGCATGAATTAGGCAAATGCTGCTCTCATGTCTGCTCTCGCTGCTATGTCTCTGCTCTTGCAGGAGTCACTTGGTCTCAGCAGCACCGCGTCAACACCCGACACTGAAAGAAAGTAAGTGAAGGTACAGGAGGTGAGAAAGAAGGGAGGGGGAATTTGGTGCGTTTTCTTTTTCCTTGGAGTAAATTCATTTTAGATTGTATTGGTGTTTCAGAATTTCAGATCCAGCCACTATTAATGGAACCCATTTTGGAACCCGCTCCTTCTCTCATTCTCTTTTGGCCTTTTATTATTTTGTTTTTTAGATTGGGGAGGGTTATTTTTTCTTGGCGTACACCAATACGACTGATAGTCATTTTTGAGGAACATCACTGACTTCATTCTCTGCAAATTAAACCTGCTTAAAAATTAACTTTCTGTGACTAGATCTAAATGCAGCCAGAAAGAGGTAGGTGAGGGGAAGGGAGAGTTACAAACTTGCATCACTTTCACTTTCCTGTACGCTCCTGGGTTTGTAACTGTGCTTTTGAAGACGGTGCCAAGGGAAAGAAGTATTTAAAACCAAGTTGAAAGGAGCTTTAGTTTTAGCAGTCCTTAATATAAACCTCTCTGTGAGGACTGAGAGGGTTACTGTCACCTCCTGCTGCAATGCGTGTGCTTGTTTTCTGCGCCTCCTTCCTTTGATTCCAAGATCTTGGACCCCTACTGCTAAGGGTAACGTGCAGCGCTGCATGGAGACAACTGACACTGTATTTCCAATTGCCTGCACTTCATGGGCTAGTGCCAACTGGACTGGCTCAGAGGGAGTACAGGAATCCAGTTGTGATGTGATGCGCTTCCCTAAGGTTTTGCAGTCCCACATTTGAATATCTTCTAGTGATTCAACACTGGATGGTAATAGGAAGGTTGTAAGAAATTGCTGCCCTTGCTCTTGCTGGTTCAGTGCAAGGAGTGTCAGTCCCAGAGGGAGCTGTGGTGGATGCAGGGTATGAGACTCACCTGGGCGCCAGCCACATGGAAGTCAGTTGTCCGGTAGGGAACAGCTGCTTAGGGGCTCCCTGTGGGATCGTCTGAAAGCTGGTTCATGCTAAAGATCTTGGAAAGCGATAAATTATCTTTTGGAGGTGCCTGCTCTCTCTCCATCACTCAGAGAAAGCCGTGATGGTTCGCTTGAGGTAGACGCTCATTTTCAAAACAGCTTAAGACAGATAAGGTGAATTTTACCTTGGGTACCATCACTGCCCTCGTGTTACATGCTGTTAACAGAGAAAGCCTAGAAGGCTTAGAGTTTAAAAGTGGTGCTTCAGATACTGAAACATGAAAAAGTTTTCTTCAAGGATACCTCCCTGTCTAACATTATAATGAAACCAGAAGTGCCACAAGTGGATGGGAACATTATGAGAACTGTAATCTGGGAAGTAAGCTTCCAAGGTTATCCTATAATCATAATACTTTTCTCTCAGTCTCAAAGCACTTTCCCCATGGGTAAATATCATCATCCCACCTCAGGTAACAATGAGATAAAGATCTCGCAGGAGGACAGCACACAAATGGGAATAAACTCCTCTTACAAGTTCTAGCCAGTTTCCTAAAATGTGTGTCTATGTAGGTGTTGTACCACAAATAACTGAGTGAGAAGACAGTATCCACAAAAGCATCTCCTGAGTGACTCTATTCTGAGAGCACCCATTTACCTCACTGAAAGGAAGTTAACCTCGTTATCTTAGTTCAGATGGAAGGGACCTGTGATTTTTGTGGACCTTTCAAGAATGGAAGTGTCCCGTTCGAGGATTTGTCTGTCAGTTGAAGGGCGTAGATGATTAACGTGATCATATATATGAAACTGGCACAGGGCAGGTTGTGTCAAATATTTGCGCAGTAAGAAACAAAGCAACGTGATGCGTACTAATTGGGCAAAGTGTTGAAAATAATAAATGATATCTACTCAATACCATACAAATTATTCAAAACTGAAGTTATACAGGCCTGTGTCTATTAGTGACAGCCTGCCATATCAGTGCTGCTTTCATCCCTCTAGCCTGGACAGCTGAATTGTCACAGGCATGCCTCTTCCAGGGAGGCAGAGTTTACAAAATTGATCTGCAGGAAAATGACCACTTCCAAGTCCATCCGATACGTCTGTGCTTGCTACTCACACGTTGAATTTGGTCTTTTTTGGGGGAGGATGGCATGTTGGCCCTGGAGGGGTTTTTTGGGTTCAGTTTTAGTTGATGGCTTTCATCTGAATTTGCTGCGTGGGCACGCTACAAGATGGGAAAGCTTGTCCCTTTGGGGACACTGCTTTTGTGGCCCCCTCATGCTGCATGAAATATCTGGGGTAAACCTTTTACAAAACTTCTTTTGTTGTGAGAAGACTCCAGTTTGCCCAACCTGAAACTCGATGCAGATGTGCATTCGTTTCTCATATTCACAAAGAGATCTGGGGGGCAAAAGGAAAGATTTGTCCCAAAATAGCCATCCAGATTTTCAGGAGCTGAAGAATCTGTTGTTGTGAGTACTCTTCCAAAGCCCAAGTAAAAGCTTGCCCAAGAAGAAGTTATATTTCTACATATTGAAAATACAAACATTTTCCCAGGTTGAGGTGAGGCGAGTTGTTTCTGGTCTGGTGTTCTGTGCGGGTTGCTTCAGAAAGTAAAAGCAGTCCCAAGGAAAAACCCGTGCTGGGATGGGGAGGAGAGAGCAAGCAGCCAGCTGGAACGTGGTTGCTGACGGTAGCTTCCTTGCCCAGCACTGCTGCCTGCACACCCCGCGGCTTAACGCTGCCATGGTCTGAAGTTTTGAATTACACACCTGGATGGTTGTTTAATTTGCCAGAATTGAGAGACTCCAGACAGAAAGAGGCTTTGAGGGAGTCTGGAAGAAGTTATGTTTGTTTTAACCTGATTTGGTTTTCCTTTTCTGTGGTGCCCAACCGAAGAGAGAGCCTGACAGACTCCACTGTACACCGCACTGAAAACAGATTAGCCTTGGTGCTCCATGGTAGGAAAAGATGTTTGTGTGGACAAGCAGTGTATGTTCGGTCTTGCCTTGAGTCTTACTAACCCTGCTGCCCTGGTCATTATTATTACTGTCTGTTCAAAGCCAGCATGAAATTAGTCAGTGCCCTCAAGTCCAGCAAGTTGCTCAACAAGTATCTGTCAGTGGGTGATGTGCTGTAACACAGAAGAGCAGCCATAGTGCCTGGAGGGAGGCAAAAGGGGTTAAAGGAGTCTGGAGGCAGAGTTGCTTGTCACTTCATTGTCCCTCCAAAAGGCATTTGGGGCAATACTACCTTCCTCTGTTGCTGGCAACACTGTTCCTGTTAATTAGATGAAACTACAAAAAAGATGGCACATATGAACTTGCTCTGTGCATTAAAAATGCCCTACCAAAGATGGTTTTCATTAGATTGATTCTGACAAAGAGAGAAGAATTTTTGCTGTAGCAAAGACCTCTGAGATTTATGTGAATAACAGCAAGGGTACTGATGTGGCCTGAAAAGCTATCCGTAAACAACAGAAAACAAAGTCACGTTTGTTCAAGCTTTGCTTCACAATTGCTGTGATTTTTTGACCATACTGGAGTTCCTTCTGTAAATTGAAACAGTTGGGCAGGCTTCCGAGTCATATAATATTCAGCAAATAACGCAAAGCATGGAATGAGATGTTAGTAGCTTTCTTCTCTTAATAATAAATTTCATTTCCCTCTGCTCTTTCCAAGATTCACGTCTTTTAAACTGCAGTCAGTTGGTGGTACTAGTGTCAGTGTGCAGATTCTCAGTGTGCCTTCAGCACAGTGGCAACAGCATCTCTAACAGTGATATTCCTCATTTTCAACAGAAATCTCCCTAGAACTGCAGGTGCTCCTATATAAGCACACTGACTTCTGCTTTTGCTAGAAGAATCATCAGTGTAACAAATAGGCAGTAAATGTGTTCTTAACAGTTGCTATTGCTTCGTTGTACCCATACCATGTTGATCTGGGGATGTACTGTATATACAATCCCTATTACTTCCAAGTGATGGCAACACCCCAAGGATGTTTACTTGGTCAGGGGACTGAGCAAGGTTTTCTCATAATTGTAAACAGAGCATTTAAAACAATGTAATCCAACTTTTAGCCTGTTCCCGTTTTTGAGCATTCAAGTCTACATGACAGACTGATGAGCTCTGCATGTTTGCCAGGAAATCCAGGTTAAACCCAGTCCCCTGAACTCAGGCTTCTGCATCCTGACTCTCATCCTGTTTTTAGAAGAACTGGGGATGTTGCAGAGGGGAAGTTGTGTGTTTTCCCTCTTGGGAAATAGATCTGTTTGCTGTCAGTGTTTGCTCCAGCGGCCTCTGGGCAAGTTTCAAATGTGGTGTGTCAGAGAGCTGCCAGGAAAGAGAAGGAAGTGGGTGAAAGACCCAAGAGCACTGCATACAGATAGGATGAGGTGCAGTCAATCCTATATACTATTTTTTTTCTTTGCAGCTGCAAGAGAAAGGAAGGACAAAACCCTACGCATGGGATAGCAGTTGTGGCTGCATCTGGCATTTTGCAAGCATTCCCACCACCTTCCCATGGCAGTGGGTGTTACAAATTGTCGCCTCCTATGTGAATCACCTGCTGTTTCTTGAACTGTACCGCTCAAGCACGCTCCTGACCAAGTAAATGGTCATACTTCATATGAAGTGCCACAATTCATCCTGCTGTACTCCTCAGCCTGCGGCACAGTACAGTTTTCTCAACCCTGTGATCCTCAGGACCTAAATCCCAGACTCTGCCAGAGCAGGGAACTGAGCAGAAACAGACTTGTCAAGCAGAAGGTGCTGGAGAAAAGCACGCACACACGTGTGGGGTGCAGGCGGCACGGGGCAGCATTGCTCGGGGGCTTTGCATTCCCCTGGCATGGGGGAGCTGCTGTGCCTCCAGCAGCTGTGTCCTCAACTCCTTGCCTCAGCTGCTCCCGAGAGTGAATGTCTTTGTCATCCTCTCTGCATGTGCAGGACGCACGTCTTAAACAGGGCCCCTCGCACGTTCAGTTCATACAGTTTGGCCAGATCCCCGATGGCTTGTTGGGAATGTCAGAGGAGTTGTAGGCTGCTCGGGCGTTATGGCTTTCTCTGAGGTTG